GGCTGCGTTGGGGGAACAGACTTGATTTCCTATTGGGAAATGTGTTGACTTCCCCAGCCTATCAGATGGTCAGTGTGGGCCTGCTGTCTGCTACCTCCATCCTCTGAAGGAACATGGAGGAGCCCTTCCTCTAGGAGCCTGAAGCCTGGCTTTGTCCTAAAGGAACATACCAGCCATTCTGGGTCAACCCTTTCTTGTTGCCAGTGCCATGGGCGGGGCTTCTAGTCTTTAGGCGCAAACACTGGCTGTCTTCCGCTTGGCTTTCCCTGCCTGCTGAGGCCGCTCCAGGCAGGTCTTTATGATGAACACACGGTGTCTGTCTGCAGAGCTCCACCCCCTCCCCAGGGGGTCCTCACTGGGCAGCTGCTGCCCCTGCCTCCCATGTCCTGGAGGCAGTTTAGTCAGGTCACCCCTAGTAGTAGCTGCTTCTGTAACTCTTCCACCAGCTGGTTTTCGTTGTTGGGGGGCCTTACACACTCGGGGGTGTTGTTCCCAGAGAAGAGACGAGGAGATGGCTGATGGGGGTGTGCATGTACGAGTGTAAGTGCGTGTGCACGTGTGTGTGTGTGTGTGTGTGTGTGCGCGCGCGCGCGCTGTCCAATTACACCAAGAGTGGGACTTAAGGCGCTTTTTTTCTCTTTTCATAGGCACCCTGTCAGACTCTTAACTCTCCTACTCATAGAAGCCTTAGACCTACAATTTAGCTATGCAAATTATTTTAGTAATTTAAAACTAGCATTTCACCAGTGCTCTCTCAGATGCACCAGGAGCGGGTGGTGAGTGGACTCAGTGTGGGCTTTCAGGTTGAGGCTGGTGCTGAGGGCGTGAGCTACCCCAGGTCTCCGGTTTGCAGAGTGCACTCACCCTGGGCCACAGTTGATACCTCCAAGGCCCCAGAGCACTGGGATCCCAGAGCAGGTGTGTGTGTGTCTAAGGAGGGGTCATTCTGTGTGCACCTCTAAAACTTCGTAGCAGCAGCCTCAAGAATCCACAAACTATTCCAGCAAGGAATTGAGACCAGTCACTGGAGGGATGGGCTTTGGAGGTATCAGGAAGTGAATGGGTATTATGAGAGGCAGTGTGTGCCTGCTGTCGACCCAGTGCTTCCAGGGGCTGGGTCTTGCTATAACTGGGGAGAGGCCATAGCTTCAGGAGGCAGACCTGGCTGTAGAAGGCTTTGTTCGATATGTGCAGCTTATACTGTGTAGGCGGGTGGGGGTGGGGTCACGGGAAATTGGGGTGCTACCAGTTCCATGTTTGTTTTTTTAATGACCGTGAAAACCCTTCTGACTTCCCTGCTGCCTCTTCCTGTGTGCTGGTAGGCAGTGAGCATGTGTGTGAGGGAAGCAGGGACTGTCTCAGAGGCCATGGGCCATGTTCTACAGCTGCTTTGATAGAGACACTTGCTGGTGGCTTCCACCTGCCGTCCAGGCCTGCGTGAGGGAGGGATGGGGAGATGAGGGAGGTGGGAGACCGGCCCGGGCACTTCCCCTCCCTCATCTTCCACAGAAGCCCCGTCTGGCTGGTTCAGCCTAAGTTCTCACCAAGGGAATATGGTACAACTTGCTTCAGGATTCCATGTGTAGTGATGTGTGATTTCCTTTTCTTAGTATCTGTGGATAAAAATTGAACAGAGAGTAGCCACTTAAGAAAGTAAGTGAACCCTGTTGGATCAGATTGGATTCTGCAAAGTCTTCACCTTCTCGAGTTGTGCTCAGCATCTATTTTGTCATCTCCCGACTTCAGGATAACGCTGGTCCTTGGCACTCTCTTCCCTAGGAATTAGTGTCTGAAGTTTATATACTTGTGATTCACAACTAAATATATTTCCCACTCCAGGGTCTGAAGCAAAGCTAGGGGAGTTCTGCTGATAGGTGGAAACGGACAACCAAATCTTAGGCATCTGCGGGGGACTGTCACTCCCAAAGTCAGCAGAGCAAGTCGTCCGCTTCAGTCTGTGCAAGCCTGGCCTTGCTCCGGAACCGAGTGCTCCCATGTGGAAGGTCTGGGGGCTTCACATTCCTTGTTCCTAGTGTTCCTGGCCATGACCCTTCCTCCTGTTTCCCAGTTCCCTGTGATTCCTCAGAAGACCAGTCTCCCTTCCGAACCCCGGCCTCCTGTACACCCAGCCAAGTGGCTCTTTTGCCACCAGAACTCCTGAGGAGCTCCTTTCCCCGGTGGACCCAGGAGACTTTCTGTCCTCTGCTCACTGTTCCAGGAACCTGCCCCTCCAGGCCTGAGTGCTTCACTCTCCACCCGTCGCCCTCCCCATCCATTCCCCTCCCACTGGCGCCTCTCTTCTGCCCTGTGTATTCCACTGTTACCCTAAATGTCTGTCTGTGCCACTAGCTTGGCCCTGGGCCTTTTATGAATACCCAAGTCTTACAATGAACTTCCTGAGCAGGCGATGTCCAACTTCTTTGCTCTCAGGGACTGTGTCTGCCTCTCCTCTCCCCTTGGGCCTATGTGACTGAGGAAAAGGTGCATCTGAGTCCGGGAGAGGTAGCCTGGCAGGCTGCAGAGTCTGGGGCAGAGGCTGGGAGAGATTTGGGTACTTTCTGTTACCACTACTGGGGTGATATTCAGAAGAGGGGGGACCTCATACTGTGACCTGATCCAGGACCCTCCTCTGGAAGAGAGCTCAGCCCAGGGGTGTGTGTGTGTGTGTGTGTGTGTGTGTGTGCCTGTGAGTGTGTGTGTGCACATGCACACACCTCATGTGCACATGAGTGTAAACTGACTTGTCTGGTTGTGTTACTCAGGGTGGGCTGGGGACTCAGCAGAAGAATCCCCTTAGCCCGCTCAAGACTGGTTTTTTCCTGTACCCTCTCCAGAGGGGTCGGGAAGGAGGTCCAGGTGGGTTGAGGGGGTCGCAGTGGATAACCACTAAGGCCACATTGCTGCCAGGAGTGGGGGCGGGGGGGGGGGGTTGGGGCCCCAGGGACCTGGCACCTGGCTTTGGTTTTCCGTCTTCTTTCCTCAGGACGCCCCCTGAGGCCTGGGATTGCACCTGGCTTTGAGGAGCACCTGTGGCTGGTGCTCTGCCGGTGTAGTCATGGGCTTCCCTCCTCTCGCAGGGCAGGTGCTCCTGCCCCAGAGACTGGGCAACTGGCTGTTTCTATGACGTATTTATTTTTACTTGTGTTTCATGTCACTTTTTTAAAAAAGCAAACAGAACAATTGTAAGTCAGTATAACTGCCTATCAGTTTTCTTTATTTCTCTTTTTGTAAAATAAAATTTAAACTCAAGAAGGCAATCTTGTTTGATCAAGGAATTGTCTGCACAGCTGTTTGGCAAGTGGTGAAAGGGATGTAACAGCACAGAGGGATAGCATGGCGGGGGGGTGGGGGGGTGGTGCAGACAGACCCTGCAGTGATCGTGGCAGTGAGCTCGCTAGCCGCCTCCTGCCTTTGCTCATCTGACAGGACTGTCTTTCCAGGCTCCAGAGGACAGTGAAGCTGCCTCAGGGGACGTGAGGCTACTGGGCCTCAGTCCTGCAGGGGCTGCCTGCAGAGGCTGAGTGGCTGGGGCCTGGCAGCACCACATGAGCCTTCTCCATTTGTCATGAGTGAGAGGATTGAACCACTGCCTCCCAGAGAACTAGCCAGGGCTTTGGAACCTGAGGAGCTGGGGGACGGAGGGGAGTGTCCACTCTTCCCTGTTTAAGGGGAGGAGCCGTGGGAAAACTCTGGAAATTTACTGAGGGAGCATTAAAGAGCCTCTGTGGGGATTCCTTGGACAGAGGAAAGCAGGAGACAGGGCAAATCGGGGCTCATGAGGGAGAATATGTGCTATGGGGACTTAGGACTGGAGTGGAGCATGGGTGGGGGCATAGCTAGGTGAGCCTCTCTGCTCAGACGCTGCGGCCTGTCCCCCAGGAAAGTGCCCTGGCTTCAGCCTCCTGGTGGCCAGCGGAGGCCTTGCAGGAATCCTAACCAAGGGCGGGGCTTGCTCTGAGAGGAAGTGTTGAAGGCTGATGGCTTGCAGTCCCAGTCACAGGCCGACTCCTTTCCGACAGTGGCGCTGAAGCAACTAAGGCACACCCTGAATTCTGACGTGGGGCCCTGGAGTTCCCCGACCAGGCTAAAAGAAGTGAGCAGTGCCCTAGCTGGTGTGGTTCAGTGGACAGAGTGTTGGCCTGCGGACTGACGGGTCCCAGGTTCGATATCAGGTTGCGGGCTCAATCCCCAGTGGGGTGTGCAGGAGGCAGCCGGTCAATGATTCTCTTTCATTGATGTTTCTATCTCCCTCTCCCTTCCTCTCTGAAATCAATAAAAATACTTTTTTTTTAAAAAAAAAAAGAAGTGAGCAGAAAGGACCAGGTGAGGAAAGGGCAGCTCCAGACAAGGGTTTCGAGGGAGAAGTCCCCAAGCTTCTGAGAAGCAGAACCCAGCGCTATCATGGCCAGTGCACAGGCCCTTTGGGCACCCAAAGGTTTGATCACGTGTCTGATGTTCACAAGCAAAACAACTGCCAAGACCCTGCCGGCCCAGCCCCGAGTGCCTGTAAGGGGCCGGCTGCCCAGAGGCCTAGCCCTGTGGGTGAGGAGGGAACGGTGTGAAGCTGGGGGAAAGGAAGCCGGGATTATGAGAGTCTCCATGTGCTCAGTCTGCAGTAGTGGGCAGTGGGCTCTGCAATAAGACGAGTGCCTTCCCAAGCATCAAACTTCCGTGTCAGGTGCACCAAGGTGACTCGTGGCCCAGCAAGACTTGCTTCACCTGCAAGACTGGGCCTCTCAGGAGGGCAGGGTTTTTACGGTTTTACCTTTGGGGCCCTAAAAGGCTTGTAGGTCCTCAGAAATAGGAGCTGAAGATGGAACTTGTCTTCAAAGAGCTCACACTTGGCCCGGGAGTTACCTGGTACACGCTCCGCTGAGGGCAGACCAGCCTCCCCCAGCTGCGTCCAGGGCCAGGAGGAGGGAGCCTGCGAGGGGGCGTGGCCCTGGCGAGCTCCCCGGGGGATGGAGCCTTGGTTTTTTGTTACTCGGTATCCTCACCCCTAGGACTGTCCTGGCATGTTGGCTGGGGGACAGGTCCCCCTGTGCTTTGGGTGGTGGGTGGAGTGCAGTGGAGTTGGAGGCAGGAAGCTGATATGTGTGCTGTCGGAGGGTGGCTCCAGCTTCTTCCTTGAGCTCAGATCGGGCCTCAGTTTACTCCGCTCTAAGACGGGAGCAAGTGGCCCTGCCTTGCTCTGGTCCCAGGTCTGTCGGGAAACCTCAGTGAGAGAAAGTGGCAAAAATGCCGGAAACCTCGGCTTCCCGGACCCCAGCCTGGCTCCCCATCGCGGCCCACCCGGCAGCCTTCCCTTCGCGCCTGGGGCCGCGCCGTCTTGGTGCCCTCGCGAGCCCCGCCGGGTGCGGGAGGCAGGAAGGTGCCGGGCGCCCCGCCCCCTGACAGCTCTCGAGGACAGACGCACGCTCGTTGCCGTGGAGACGCGGAGGGGCAGGCCGCCGCCCTCCGGCCCCGCGCGCACGCGCCCACGACCACGGCCACGTCCCGCCGCGAGAGGGGGCGGAGCGAGCGTGCGAGGCGGGCGCGCGCAGGCTCCGCGACCGAACCCGGAGCCGCCTGCGCGTCGGCGTCCGCGGCGGGTGGCCGCTGAGGTGAGGCCGGGCCGGGGGAGCGCGTTCCCGCCGGGCCGCCTCCCGCGCGCCGGGGGCCTGGGACCTCCGTCTGCCCGGGCGCGGCCCCCTCCGTGACCCCCGCGGCCCAGGCCGCTCTTTGCACCTCGACTCCCTGACCACTGGTCCCGGTCGGGTCCGAGGGCCCGGACGCGACCTTGGGCCAGCCCTGCGCCCCCGGCCGCCCCGGTCTCGGCTCCGGTCCGGGCCCGTCCCGAGGCAGCGGAGCGGAGGGGTGGGTGGGGGACGGAGGCAGGAGCCGCACTTTAACTCCGCCCCGTCCCCCGAGCCCGCCGCCTGGGCTGCCAACTTCGGCGCCCCTGAAGTTGCAGGGGTGCCTGGGGTCCCCTGCGGTCGAGGCCGAGGAGAAAGGGGCGGGGCAGAGGGGGCGCCCGGAGCCCGAGGCCCTCGCAGCCCGGCCCGCCGCGCCCACGACGGGGCCCTTCACGGGCCAGCGCGCCGCACGTGAGCGGCTCCAGGAAGCCCGCGCGGCACCGCCGCCTGGCACCCCAGCACCGGGGAGGCGACCCCCCAGAGGCTCGGGTGGGCCCCAGCCTGCCCAGGGTCTGCGGCAGGAGCTGTTCCGGGGCCGGAGCGGGGCCCTGGGGCCGTGGACTTGGTGAGGCCGAGCCTGGCTTCCGATTTCCCGAAGGGGACGTGGTGGCGAGGCCGCAGCCCTGTGACGAGGGGCGCGGTTCTGCTGGGGGCGCCGGTGGTCTTGGCTTTCCGGCTCAGCGCCTCTCCCCTCTCTGCCCCTAGCACGGAGCGCCGCGTCCCAGCCACGCTGAATGCCATGAGCCGCTGAAAGGGAGCCTGGCTTTCCCGGTGAGCCCCCCGCCGCGCCCCCGCCCCCCCTCCTCGGTCACTTGCTCCCCCGCCTGCCCTTCCCGGGCTGATGGCAGCTCTGGGCCCTCAGGCTCCTGTCCCCCCTTTTCTGAGCCTTCAGGACGCGAGAGGAAGAGAAAGGTGCGAACTACGTTCCTGGAGGGGACAGGGAGCGTGCAGCCCAGAGGGAAGGTCGGACAGGGGGCTGGTCACTCCCAAGGCAGCTGGGCGAGGGGACACAGCGCCCAGCCCAGAGCCTGGGCCTCCGAGATGCCCAGTGTGGGTGAAACGCGTGGGCCTTTCTGGAAAGCCTGTCACCAGGGAGGACAGGGAAAGTGGGAAAGGAGGCATGAGGCTGCTGGCGCCCGCCCTCCGCCTGCATTGTGGTCCCGGTCTGTTTGGCACCTGTGTGGCCTCGGGCAAGTGTCTTCCTCTCTAACCACTGACGTCCTAAGCCGTCCAGAGGATTAAGGAAGCAGCCGCGTTTTAACACGTAGACAATGCCTGGCATCTAGTTAAGTACTTTGTGGGCGATCCATCACCATCATCATCACCAGCACCATCAAAGAAAACGGAGGAGCAAAACTGACCAGGGCCAGTTGAGCAGGACAGGGAATTGCGTCCAGAGGAGGGTGCGGCTGTAGGGGCAGGACCCCATGGGTGTGAACCCCAGTGGGAGACACCTCTGCGCCAAGACACCAGGGGCTTCGACGTTCTGTGTGCACGTTGACTCCAAAGACAGTATTTCAGCAAAAGGTTTTGACAGACAGAGCCCACAGGGAACCAGTTATTCCATAGAGCTAGGTTTCCCATTGGGTTCAAGTGTTTATGTTCAGCGCGCCCAAAACTTTTAAATTTTAAATATTTGGGGTCACATGCCCCCCCCCCCCGGGGTGGCGGGCTGGGCCGTCTGCCTTGAAGGGCGCACACGCCAGCTTCTGTGGCGCCCATGGGCCTGTTCCCGGATGGTTTGCTTTTCCTGTGCGCGCCCCCCCCCCCCCCCCCCGTGAAGTGAATGTCTTTATTGTTTGTGTTATAGGAATAGGAGGAACGGGGGAAGGCCAGTGGGGAGGAGGGAGAATTGTCAGATAAGTGACATACACACAAAAAGGAAACAAGAGGCGGCCACACACACCCTCCCAAGATGCCTTTCTATGAACTACCTGGTACGGGAGATCAGAACCATAAAAATTAAATTCTAAACACTTGGAGATGCTGGGGTGGGAAGGGACAGGGGCCCCAGGTGTGGTTCCCCTCCTCCCCCGCCAGGCCAGCACTCCCCTTCCATGGGATGAACCGCTCAGGCCAGGGATGAGTAACTGTTGCTTCTCCCTGTTGTGTGTCTCCACTTCCAGCAGCCTTTTCCTCCTCCTCCTCCTCCTGGCGGTTTCTAATCTATAAGCTGAAAAAGTGGGCTGAAACTTGTAAGCACTGGTGGCTCAAGCCTGGGAAGCGTAGCCTGAATTTTGGTTGTTTTGATCTGGTGTCCTCTAGTTCTGGATGGGTGAGCTTGCTGGATAGCAAGATTCCTCAGGCCAGATGTGCTTAGCAGAGGAGAATTTCCTAGGAGAGTCTCTTTCTGTGGCAAATCCCTGCCCCCCCCCCCCCCCCGTTTGTTCCTCGTGGTTTCCTTGTTTGTTAATAAGTGTTTGGCCCCTGGCACTTGCTTGTCCTCTCTCTGGCAGTGGTCCATGAGGCTTGGGGAGGCTGGGCAGGTAGTTGGCTTAGCTGGGGGAAGGAAGAGGCCATGTGGGGGAAGGGCAGGCTGGCTGAGGTCTGGTCCGTCTCAGACGAGGCTGGTCAGGGCTGGGAGTATGTCCCTGGCTGACTCACTCTTGGGCCCTCTATGACTCAGTCTCCCCAGTATGACCAAGGCTGCCAGCTGACAGGCACAGCAGCCCCGAGAGCCTCAGTGATTGTGGTTAAGAAATAAGGAGGCCTGTGGCTTCAGTCATCCTTTGTAGCTCCCTTCTAGGTCACTCCATGTGTAAACACCTCTGGCCACTCCTCCTCCTGGGTCAGAGCACCCAAGGCAGGGCTGGGGTTGGGCCAGAACAGGCTGGCGGGCAGGTGGGCACTCTGGTCAGAGCAGGCTACCAGCCTCTCTCTCCTGTCTCCTTTGCAGCTGCCTTGGGGTGCGGCGTCGGGAGCACAGAGCCATGTCGGACCTGCTACTGCTGGGCCTCATTGGGGGCCTGACTCTGCTGCTGCTGCTGACTCTGCTGGCCTTCGCCAGGTACTCAGGGCTGCTGGCTGGGGTAGCAGTGAGTGCCGGCTCACCCCCCTTCCGCAATGTCACTGTGGCCTACAAGTTCCACGTGGGGCCCTACAGCGAGACAGGGCGGCTTTTCACGGAGAGCTGCAGTGTCTGCCCCAGGCTCCGCTCCATCGCCGTCTACTATGACAACCCACACATGGTAAGGAGCCTTCTGGGCCCCGACTGGACTTCTGCCCCGTGGACGGGCATGGGGCAGGGCTTGTTGGGGGAGGGGCATTTTAGTGTCTAAGGAAGTGGTGGGAAAATGTTTGAGTTGGCCTTGCAAACCCCTCCTCTCTGAGCTCAAAGCTCCCTCCAGATTTAGCCTGGACTTCTGTTCCCTCCTAGGAGTGTGTGCTGGTTTCCTCTTGCCCAGGTCCCGTCCCCCGGGGTTAAGGCTACCTATGGACCTCGCAGTGCAGGGGACATCCCAGTAGGAGGCCCTAGCCAGGCTTTCATCCGCTGCCTCCTCCTCTTGGTGTCCCTCCTTCTTTCACCCCCATGTGCGGCCAGTGCTGTAAGGCCAGGCCTTTCAGATCCTGCCCTCAGTTTGGGGTCATTTTGTGGTATTTCTGTGCCTTCCCTTTTTCAGCTCTCCTGCTGTGGCGGCAGGTTCTCAAGGTCTGAGGGGGTAGGCTCTGGGCCTGGGACTTGGAATCCCACCCCCCACCCCGCGTCTTTCTGGCGACCCCTGACCTGTTTATAAGGCATCGCTTTGAATGTCAAGCTGCCTGGTTTGGAGAGGGCCTTGGGGGCAAGTGGAGCCAAGTGAGCTGCCCAGAATGTCTAAGATGCTGGGGTCAGAGATTAAGCCGGCATCACTGGCACCCTGTGGGCGTCCAGCTGTACGTACAGCCTGCGGTGAGTCAGGGCTCACCAATGTGGCCTCCTGCAATGCAGGGGTGGTGCCACAGCTGCATGGGCTGGCACCCCTGCGAAGGGCTCTTCAGCCTCCAGCTCTGAGCCTCGGCAAACCAGGCATTTGGAATCCCCGGCTCTGGTTTCCTCGCCTGGAGAGCTCACGTGGGCAAGGCCCACAGCCTACCCATTGTCTCCTGACCAGGCCTCACTGGGGCATTCAGTCAAAACAAGGGTGTGCTGGCTCTCTCTGTGCCTGCTTCTGCTCTACACCCGCACCCTGGAGATGAGCAGATGGGGCCCCGCCCTCAGGAAGCTTCATGCGGTTGGCGAGTCAGGTTCACACAAATGAATCTCCAACAAGGCACTGTGCTCGGTGCCCACAGAACTTAGAGCTGTGGGTTTGGAGGAGGGTGCCTCACGTCTTCCAGGGAGGCTCAGAGAGGTGCTAGCTTTCAGCTGGGCCTTCTGCCCGAGTGGGATTTTGCTCTGCCAGGAAGGGCCTCGTGGCTAAGGGAACCGCAGCAGCCAGGGCCTGCAGACATAGGTGACCGGGAAGTGTGGCAGGACCCAGCCGGGGAGTGGAGAAAGAGGCAGAAGGTTTATGGGCCAGGCAGTGGGAGGCAGGAAAGGTGCAGCACAGTTTGCCATCTGCGATTTAGGAAGCTACTGGGTGGCAGGTGGAGGAAGGAAGGAGATGAGGCAGAGAGGCCATGGAGGATACTGGGCTGGGCTCTGGTGAGGGGTGAGTAGACATTAAGGTTTTGAGGTCACACAGCTGGGTGATGGCAGTAAGTGGGAGTCGAAAGCACTGGGACCCAAGTGAGATGGGGCCGGCCCGTGGAAAGCTCCTGGGCAGGGTGCCCGACCCCAGCCCTGCAGCGGTCTCTTGTGTAAGTCCCTGCCCCTTCCACCCCTGGCCCAGTCGGCCTCTGTAAGGCCTGGGGGGGGAGCGGGGGGGGGAGCGTCCTGTGGCTTCCCACCTGTTCCCGAAGCAGCACTTTGCCTCGGGTCTCGGAGGGGCTCATTCCAGGAGGGGGAG